GCCCCGCAGGCCCCGCCCCCTAGCCGCGTGTAACCCTCCGCCGCGTGCCGCGCTCGCAAAGGAGTGCTCGCCGCCGCCTGGGCTCAGGCTCGCGCACGCGGTTGGGGGCGCGCGGGGCCGCGCAGGACCTCACCTGCGGCTGCGGCGGGGTAGAGGCGCCCGAGGCCCGGGGTTGGGGCGGCTGTCATTCACTGTGACTTGTTCTTCCTGCGGGCATTGACTGAGCGAGCGCCTGGGATGCAGCAGGCTCTGCAGACACAGCAACAAATAAATCCAAATACTTACCCCGGTCTGCAGGAGCTAGGGATGAGGAACCTGGTGGGGAGGAGGAGGGACAGCCACTAAATAGCACATCATGTGTGTGTGCATGTGCTAACATGTCAGCGCGAGACACCACCGTATGCACTGTAGAGCCATGGTTATGTGCGGTACTTAATCCTTGGATGATCCAAGGGAGTAATTGCGGTGGAGAAAAGCAGAGGAGACAAAAAACAGAACATGGAGGGGTGTTTCCATTTAAGGAAGGCTGTCAGGGAGGCCCCCTCATAAAAGTGACTTCCACCAAAGACTTGAAGGTCACGGGAGCTAGCCAATCAGTAGCTGGGAAGCCACCCGAAGTACCTGGGGAGGCTGGGTTCCCTGTGCCAGGACCCCCGCAGGGCTCCTAGCTCCGCAGACCCCTGGCACGTGGACACGGATCCCCGGCATGTCCCCTGTTTCCAGCTCTCCCCCCCCCATCCCTCCGCTAGTGGATACAGTAAGTTGCACAAGCATGCCGGGTTCTCTGGAATCGCTGACAGGAATCGTGTGAAAGGCACAGGATTCGGAAAGAGCAAGTCTTCCCCAAAGCCCAAACAAGATCTCGAAGAACGGCGCCCATGTTGCCCATGTTGTGGCAGAAGCCGGAAGTTCCTAAGGGCAGTCCACCGTCGATGGTGCTTTGGACCATAGGAATCTCATCCTTCTCCTCTATTCTCAAAGTATGGTATTTCTTGGCACACAGAGCAGCAAATGTCACACGCTAGGACGAAAATATCTGAGGGAGAGAGCCAGGACAGAAAACCAGCTGCTGCAGCCTGCCCAGGGAGGACTCTGCTTCCTGTGGGAGCACCGCCCGTCTCTGCTGGCAGAATTTCGCCGGCCCTGGGTCTCCACCCTAACTGACGTTGACTTCTAGATATTATCATCATAGCTGTTTTGTTCGGTTTTGGTTTTGGTTTTGTTTTTTTGCCAGAGGGCACATGAGCTCATCAGAGAGAGAGAGAGAGAGCACTTCCCCAGTGGGACATGGTCATACAATCCCTTCTCCATTTCTCCATCCCGTGAGGACTTGGGGCATGCACATGCACTCACACACCTGGTGTGTTTTTCAAGCTGCCCAGGCCGGATTCCAACCATACAGTTGGTTACAGAGGACCTGGCTCTCTTAACCACCAGGCCAGGGGACCTGCTCTCATCACAGTCTTTTTTATTTTATTTATTTTTTTTTGAGAGATTTTCACTGTAGGGCACGTGCGCTCGTCAGACAGACAGAGACAAAGAGACAGAAAGTGAGAAATCACTCCCCAGGGGGGATGGTCACGCTGCAATCCCTTCTCCTCCATTCTCCTCTCGGGATCTTGGGCATGCACACACACATGCCCAACGTGAGTTTGAAGCCACCGGGTCCAGGACGCGAACCGCAGTCGAGTACGTGGGAGTCCAATGACATAGCCATTACGCTAGCTGCTTGTCCCAACGGGGGGGGGGGGGGGGGGGGGGGGGGAGCGGCAAGGG